CTTAGACCGGCTCTAACTTTTTCCCAAATTTTCGTTGGGTAGAACGCTTTCTACCACAGATGGAGCAACATGTGGCAACCACTTGCCCAAAAGCACGTATGAGGTTCTTCATGAAAGACTTGAGATACACAAGCTGGAAGTAGAGACAAGTAAACATGCAATTTCAGGCCCTACATTTCAACCTAACCAACCTCTCAACTATTATATCCTTCCGCATCAAAATTATGAATATTCACCAAAACCTGGCAGAAAATGTATTTTCAAACCCTTTTCCTCGATTCTACACCAAAAGTCAACAAAAATCGACATGCAATAGGGGGAAAAAGGAAAAGGGAGAGGAAGACTAAAAATAGCTTTGGCCCTTGTTTCGTGGGTGACGGCGTAGGAATATTTGGTGATCTGTGTCCATTTGGTCTGGAATGGCGAACCCCTGCTTTAAATGGATTATAAGGTCTATCATTAACCCAAGTGGTGTGGTTTCGATCTCAGCTTGCACGTGGAAAGGACTCGTGGGTTATCTCCGGGCCCTCGAGTTTCATCCAACTGCTAATAAAATATCCATACTCACAGCCAAATTATTGAAATAAAATTAAACCATATGCTAGTCGTGAAAACGTCTAGTTCGTGTCGAATGGACGTTGATCCCTATTCCAGTCAGAACACTGAAATACGTCCTTAACGTAAATTGATTATTTTATCCTGATTTGCCGTTTGTAATTGTGTAATACTGCAACCCTGTCTTGCGGTCGAAGGATGTAAGTGATGTTTATTAGTGTATTTAATCTTAACTGAAGTGGCTGGGAGTTGCGGCGAGCTCCTGTAATCTAGCTACTTAGAGGCCTGGAATGGAGGACGGTTTGAGAATGGGATTCCTGCTCTCAGGTGTGCTATGTCGATCAGGTGTCCGCACTAAGCCAGGCATCAATATGGATTCAATGGGGGAGCCCGTAGTATCCAGGTTGTCTAAGGAGGGACGAACCGGCCCAGGGCAGAAATGCAGCAGGCAAAAGTCTCCGTGTCCGGCAGTAGTGGGATCGCACCTGTGAATAGGCATCTGTTAGTAGCCCGTTCAATATAATCGAACCCATTCCTTTTTAGCACATCTTTCCACCCATTTCACATTTTACATCAACCCAGCCCAAAATGTTTTCAATGTATTTAGATTTGACTTCGCTAATTCACTTCGTGGCTTCAAGATCTCGTTGAATCAATCGACCATATGGAATGTTAATTTATGCACGTTTGTAATACAAGGGAGATAACTAAAAATACGAGTGTTTCAGGAATTACATCACATTTGGTATGGGATGGCGTGCGTTAATTGGATTATAAGGTCTATCATTAACCCAAGTGGCGTGGTTTCGATCTCAGCTTGCACGTCGAAAGGACGCGTGGGTTATCTCCGGGCCCTCGAGTTTCATCCAACTGCTAAATATCCATACTCACAACCAAATTATTGAAATAAAATTGAACCATATGCTAGTCCCGAAAACGTCTAGTTCGTGTCGAATGGACGTTGATCCCTATTCCAGTCAGAACACTGATATACGTCCTCGTCAATAGACAATCAACGTAAATGGATTAATTTATCCTGATTTGCCGTTTGTAATTGTGTAATACTGAAACCTTGTCTTGTGGTCGAAGGATGTAAGTGAAGTTTATTAGTGTATTTAATCTTAACTGAAACGGCTGGGAGTTGCGGCGGGCTCCTGTAATCTAGCTACTTAGAGGCCTGGAATGGAGGACGGTTTGAGAATGGGATTCCTGCTCTCAGGTGTGCTATGTCGATCAGGTGTCCGCACTAAGCCAGGCATCAATATGGATTCAATGGGGGAGCCCGTAGTATCCAGGTTGTCTAAGGAGGGACGAACCGGCCCAGGGCAGAAATGCAGCAGGCAAAAGTCCCCGTGTCCGGCAGTAGTGGGATCGCACCTGTGAATAGGCATCTGTTAGTAGCCCGTCCAAAATAATCGAACCCATTTCTTTTTAACACATCTTCCCACCCATTCCACATTTTTACATCAACACAGCCCAAATTGTTTTCAATGTATTCAGATTTGACTTCGCTAATTCACTTCGTGGCTTCAAGATCTCGTTAATTTATTCACGTTTGTAATAGCAGGGAGATAACTACAAATACGAGTGTTTCCGGTCTCAAATCACATTTGGACACAGATCACTAAAGATTTCCCCATTGACTCCAATGTTAATTCTCGTATCTTAGACCGGCTCTAACTTTTTCCCAAATTTTCGTTGGGTAGAACGCTTTCTACCACAGATGGAGCAACATGTGGCAACCACTTGCCCAAAAGCACGTATGAGGTTCTTCATGAAAGACTTGAGATACACAAGCTGGAAGTAGAGACAAGTAAACATGCAATTTCAGGCCCCACATTTCAACCTAACCAACCTCTCAACTATTGTATCCTTCCGCATCAAAATTATGAATATTCACCAAAACCTGGCAGAAAATGTATTTTCAAACCCTTTTCCTCGATTCTACACCAAAAAGTCAACAAAAATCGGCATGCAATAGGGGGAAAAAGGAAAAGGGAGAGGAAGACTAAAAATAGCTTTGGCCCTTGTTTCGTGGGTGACGGCGTAGGAATATTTGGTGATCTGTGTCCATTTGGTCTGGAATGGCGAACCCCTGCTTTAAATGGATTATAAGGTCTATCATTAACCCAAGTGGCGTGGTTTCGATCTCAGCTTGCACGTGGAAAGGACTCGTGGGTTATCTCCGGGCCCTCGAGTTTCATCCAACTGCTAATAAAATATCCATACTCACAGCCAAATTATTGAAATAAAATTAAACCATATGCTAGTCGTGAAAACGTCTAGTTCGTGTCGAATGGACGTTGATCCCTATTCCAGTCAGAACACTGAAATACGTCCTCAACGTAAATTGATTATTTTATCCTGATTTGCCGTTTGTAATTGTGTAATACTGCAACCCTGTCTTGCGGTCGAAGGATGTAAGTGAAGTTTATTAGTGTATTTAATCTTTACTGAAGCTTCTGGGAGTTGCGGCGGGCTCCTGTAATCTAGCTACTTAGAGGCCTGGAATGGAGGACGGTTTGAGAATGGGATTCCTGCTCTCAGGTGTGCTATGTCGATCAAGTGTCCGCACTAAGCCAGGCATCAATATGGATTCAATGGGGGAGCCCGTAGTATCCAGGTTGTCTAAGGAGGGACGAACCGGCCCAGGGCAGAAATGCAGCAGGCAAAAGTCCCCGTGTCCGGCAGTAGTGGGATCGCACCTGTGAATAGGCATGTGTTAGTAGCCCGTTCAATATAATCGAACCCATTCCTTTTTAATACATCTTCCCACCAATTTCACATTTTTACATCAACCCAGCGCAAATTGTTTTCAATGTATTCAGATTTCACTTCACAAATTCACTTATGGGTATCAAGATCACGTTGAATCAGTCAATAAAGATCTGTTCACAGATAGAATCATATTGTACAACCACGGCCGCTGATGTACATATTTTTATTATTACTCTGTCTCGTAATGCATCTTTAAATTGTTTCACAACAGACTCGCATCTGTGTCGTAATAATAGTCTTGTGGTCGAAGGAGCTTCCTTTCATCGAAATATGTAAGTGAAGTTTATTAGTATACTTAATCTTAACTGAAGTGGCTGGGAGTTGCGGCGAGCTCCTGTAATCTAGCTACTTAGAGGCCTGGAATGGAGGACGGTTTGAGAATGGGATTCCTGCTCTCAGGTGTGCTATGTCGATCAGGTGTCCGCACTAAGCCAGGCATCAATATGGATTCAATGGGGGAGCCCGTAGTATCCAGGTTGTCTAAGGAGGGACGAAACGGCCCAGGGCAGAAATGCAGCAGGCAAAAGTCTCCGTGTCCGGCAGTAGTGGGATCGCACCTGTGAATAGGCATCTGTTAGTAGCCCGTTCAATATAATCGAACCCATTCCTTTTTAATACATCTTTCCACCCATTTCACATCAACCCAGCGCAATTTCTTTTCAATGAATTCAGATTTGACTTCACTAATTTACTTCTCCGTTTCAAGATCTCGTTGAATCAGTCAACCATATTATGACGTGTACTAAAAGGGAGATAACTACTAATGCGCGTGTTTCAGGAGAAAGACCACATTTCGTCTGGAATGGCTAACTTCTGCGTTAACTGGATTATAAGTTCTATCACTAAGTCAAGTGGCGTGGTATCGATCGCAGCTTGCACGAGGACATGAGTAAAAAAATCAATCATTCTGTTTATTGGGGTGTTATAAATAATATTTACCCGTTTTACCGGCTGGGAGTTGCGGCTAGCACATGTAATCCAGTTACTGAGAGTTAATTAGGCCGTCAATGTGTACGGGCGTGTCTAATGAGCAGTGAACAAAGCGATTTTTTGTCAAGTTGAATGGCTTCTAAGCCTTCTCAAGCCATAGAAAGTGACTACTATCTGAATGTTAAAGATTGCACTGTGGATTCAATGCAGTTAGATAGAGAAATGGGGTTTCACGTCCACCCGACACAAACTAGGTCATTTCGGGACTAACATATGCTTTAATTTTATTTCAATAATTCGTTTGCACGTAGGGGTTTTTAGCAGTGGGAGAAAACCGCAGGACCTGGAGAAAACCCACGCGGTTGGACAGGCGACCTTACTCCTTGTCACGTACAACAGGGGCACCGAAACGACGCCAGTTGACTCAATGACAGACCTTATGATACAGCGGGCAGGTGCTAACCATTCAGCCACCCCAACCACCGAACGCCCCCCCCCCCCCCGCCAATTCACTTATAATTCAGGACCCCGTTTCTCGAAACCTCAAGTTATTACCGTGATTCTCGGCTCAAAATTGGAGTTATCTCTCTTAAACGACTTGTTAATCAAGACTATTGATCTATACACGCGCAGTAGAATGAAGCGCGAGTACAGCTAGTCTCAATCATTCAGACAAGTAAATTCCGTATGTTCTGGGTGGAGTTCTGGGTGTCCGAGACTGCAGTACACGTGGTATATTCTCATTTCGCGGTTGAAGGTTAAAAGAATCACATGGTAGAACTACATGGCAGACGTTAAAACACCAGGATACTACTACTACTACTACAAGAGTAATAGAGTTTTAAATAATTAGAGAGAGAGAGGTAGTATATTTTGTTTAACAATGCATGTCTTGTTGAATATAGGTAAATGTTTTCCCACTCTGATACGCCAAATTCTGTCGAGTCCAATTCACCTCACAATAAATTTCCCTGAGTGACACTCAGTCCGAGAATCGCCATTTTGTCTGTTCGCCATTTTGTTTGTTCGCCATTTCAAGTGAATACTCAGAAATATGATTGAGGAAAATCTACATAAAAGTTTTCTCGCACTCTACATCCCTTAAGGTCAAAGTTTCAAATGACAGAAAATTCTTTTTACAAAAATATTTGTATTTTTTTATTTCATCAAAATATTCTAATTAGATCTAGATCCAAAGTTATGGAATTTTAAAATCTGTTTAATAAATTCATCCACGATGTTTTTCAATTTAAACTTCATCGATATGGTCATACGCTTTACGTTGTGTTTGCCTCACACCCTCATTGGATTGTCTCGAAGGTAGTGACAAAAAACATAGTTTCAATTCAACACAGCCTAAGTATAATGTCTATGAAGAAATTATAAATTGTAAACTTGTGTAATTGATAAAATTTGAAAAATTACTCACAAAATGTAAGTAAGGTTTGTTCAACATTCTTATGTTTGCAGTTTTAAACTGGTATGGATGCATCTAACTCTAATCACATTTTGAAAAGAGTGTTGTCTGTATAGGGAAAATGTGCTTAGAAATCGATTTTTTTGTTGCACCCCCCCCCCCCCCGGGTCTAAAAAAACGTTGCCATTTTCTTATAATACAAGGTTTCTAGTGATGGAAAATCCATATTCCCACCTTCAGATATTGCCAGTTTTAAAATATTACCCATTTACCCAGGGTCTCGGTCAATTTATCATGCTTGTCTAACATGACTTTGACGTCGTGATTTTGGATGATAAAATTACTGCAGGTGAATGCTTTCTTTTTCGTGGGTACTGCCAAAATGCATAGCAACATTTGAAAAAAAGATTATGGAAATATCTCAATTTGTATTTGCACAGGACCAATAATAAGCGCCCACAAAGCAGTAATGTTGCACATCGTAGCATGTTTTTGTCTATTTATGAAAATACAGTATCATTGTATTGATATTGAATTTAATTTATTATCAGAAATCATACATAAATTTGATAATTGCATAGACATATTTGATTTCAACCAAAAAAACAATGCATAAACGTGATATTTCAAATAGGGGTCCCAGCTAAAAGGGGAGATAACTCGTATTATAAATGTCCTATAAATATTGAACAAAGACCAAATTTCCCCATTGGCAACCCACCCTATCACCAAACAAAGAATGAAAACAAATTTAACACATTAATCTTTTATTTAATGACTAGTATTAAAGATTTAAATAGATATAAATTAGGCCCGTGTATTGCAATTTACAACAACATTTCAATATCAATATTTTTTTAAAATACAGAAAACATTTTTTTAATTTTTAATAACTCTTATATCAGTAATTTATTTAAATTTTGCTGTAACAGTTGTGCAATAATTAATGCTTAAATAGTTAGAATGTAAAATATAAAAACATATAAAACAAACAGTTAAACAAAGTACTAAAATCAACAAATGGAAAAGTATTTACACAATTATTTATCTTTAGATATATTGTTTGGTTATTTTTTTTAAATATACCAGCACTACTTATACTATAGAGTAAATCGGCTACTCCCACACCTTGTCATTGAGGTCGCTGATAATGGGATTCGAACTCAAGTCCATTGATGACAGACCTTTTTGTAACCACTTGGCTATATAAATCCCTTCCCACCCACTAGTTGCCTATCTAGGCCTATGATATAAAATACATGTAGATATAACAACAAGCCACAAGGACACAACAACTACTACAAGTTGGAAATAAACTTACCCTGACGACTGAACTGTGGGTTTTCGTGTTAGGAATCGAACATAATCCTTGTAGCATCGTAGATGGTACCGAACTTCAACAGCAACACAGTCTTTATCTCTGATGTACCTGAGAATGGTTTCTTCTTTCTTAATTGCTGCTTCTCTAAGTCGCCCTAAAAAAGATATGGAAAATTGTAAATATCATGGATATCATAAACCAACTAGAAGTAGAATGTATATTCGTTTTCTGGTTACATATGCCTAAATAAAAAACCCCACAAAATTCTTTATGCAACAGTTTTTTAGTGTATAATAGGCTTTGTATGGAGCAGCCTACTTTTAACAATGAACTAGACAACTTTTGGCAGACCTGGTACATGTGGGATGAATGAATGAATGTTGTTTTATGTCAGAACAACACCATATTCTGGGTATGATATGCTCACGTGCTGGGAGAACCTGCGCAGCATGGAATCCCCGAAAACCCATACGTGAACAGATAGACTACTAATACTGTACTTTGTCATTGAGGTCATCGAAAATGTGATTGGATCTCTCAACCCCATTGATAACAAACCAATACAGGGAGGTTGACATTATTGCAGTGACATGGCCAGGAAAGCTAATGAATGAATGAATATTGTTTTATGACACGTCGACACCGTAAATCTGGTCAATTTGCACCAATCCACATGTTATCTGTTTATGCGCTGGGAGTACTTGCGCTGCAGGGGTAAATACATAACCCTGCGTGTTCGGATAGGCTACTCCCACACCTTGTCACTTAGATCCGGCAGAGAACGAGACTCGAACCCTCAACTCTATTGATGACAGACTGATAGGTAACACCTATCGGCCACCCGACCACTCTCCCCAATAAACGCCTTTTACGACATGCTGAGGAGGGGCGATGGACCTATTCCACCACCTAACACTGGGCATAGCCAGGAAAGGAGGGTGGGGGGGGACAATATTAAATCACAACGGTTGAACAAATAATAAAAACTTAGGCGTAATATTATCTAGAGTGTTTTTGATTGGTTGTTTGTTTTAAAAATATGCATCAGGTGTAAATAGTGGTTGATAAACTTCATGGCGCGAACGGAAAGTAATTCAAACTTGCGACGACTCGTTTATGAAAACTGGCACATTCTAGAAGTGGGAAGGCGGCTTTTTATCCATATAAATTCACATTTTACTAATGTGTGACTTTACAACTAGACCCATTTTATAGAATTTCTTTGAAACGATAGCTATTGACAGATGACACTCTAGTAAGTTTGTCTTGTTGGCTGTCAATATTACCTATTACTACAGTATTAAATTTGAAGAAACAAGTCAGGGTTGTAAATTTAGTACTTAGTTCTGTATATATAGCAAGAGCTATTCTTTTTTTCTCTAACCCACTTACTGACAATTGAGATCTGTTGATTATGCTGTTTAAAAATGTTGGATGGCCGAGTGGTTATCATAAAGCCTGCCATTTTGTAAACTGGCGTGGTTTCGAACCCAGGGTTGTACGTGACAAGGAGTAAGGTCGCCTGTCCAACCTCGTGGGTTTTCTCCGGGTCTTCCGGTTTCCTCCCACTGCTAAATACCCCTACGCGCAAGCGAATTAGTGAAATAAAATTAAAGCATATGTTAGTCCCGAAATGACCTAGTTTGTGTCGGGTGGACGTGAAACCCCATTTCTCTATCTCTTTAAAAATGTACTGTGAACTTGATAGTAGTACATCGATTTAGTTGATAAGTCTTACATGAAATTACACAGGTAAATTTTTACTTTATAGGGTCTTATGTATGTGCCAAACTTCTTGGCTGTAAAGTCATCTGGCCAGTAATGGTGGTCGAAGTTCATGATAGGCCTGCTGGTAATTTGACAGTATGCGACGTTTATAGTCATTCTGATGATTCAGAGTAAGTAGCCTATATGTATTACTATTGCATAGTGATCAGTATGAGCCCCATCCATCTCAATTTATTTGATGGTGTTTCATATTGAAGTATTACTATTAAAATTCCAAGATTGAATAAAATAATTTTATCAGCATACCATTTGTTTGGGATAGACTTGTTTCTCTGAATTTGTACATTTACTTTACTTAAGCCATTTTTTCTTTGATTTTAGATTTAGTGTCAATAGTCACAGTGTGTTTTCGTTCGAAAAAAACTGGATTGAAAGAGACTGGTTTAGGTAAATTTTAGTAGTTGGTTTCATTGTATGATTTATTTTGTTATACATTTATTTTCATTGTATGCTTTTTTCAGCAAACTATGTTGAGATAGGGATATTATAAGTAACTACAATGTAAATTTCAAACTCAGTATTATCTATAATCTTTGACATTAACAACAACATATAATTTATTAGCGGTATTCATTCATTTCAATTAATATTGGTCTTAGCATATCATTGTCGAAAAAATATATGCTTTCATTTAAATGTACTTTTCCTACTCTTATATCGAATTCCAACTGCCAAGGGATCTTTTACGTGCATTCCAATGTATACACGGGACCTCGGTTTTTCGTCTATGCCCGTCTTCATTAGCCCAGGTTAGGAGCAGAACAGTAGGACGTTAAACCCCATTTCATTTAAATGTACTTTTCAAGTTTTGACCCATTTTCGTCGATATTAGATTGCAAAGAATTGATATTTTGCGCCTTTAAAGGTTACCAGAAAAGTTATGTAAATTGTTTGAATAGTGGAAGTAATTATGTCACCATATTCAGAATGTCAATTTTACCTGCTGCAGGTAAATTTCAACGTTGGCGATTTCCGCCACTCTCTGATCAGTCGTAATTTTCGCCAATAAGGAAGTTGTCGTGTCATTTTAGTCTGTCTGCTTGAAATGTTACTAGAATATGAGCAGGGATACTAAAATTGTTTCATTGTATGTTTTTTTTTTTGTTATACATTTATTTTTTTGTTCAATTTATGATTTTTTGTGTTGTATGAATATTTTTTTCCCTTCAGCAAGCTTTGCTGAGATAGGACTATTTTAAGTAGCTAAATCTCAAATTCCATATTTGACATAAAAACATGAATTAGAATTTAATATTGGTTTATTTCATCAATATTGGTGTTAACATACTGAAAAAAATATCCAATATTTAAGACGCCATGAACATTTTAAAAGCAGAGTGCGGCATCGTTATCTGTTTGCTCTCAAGGTTCATTTGTAATGAGACCCTTTTGATGATCAAGACAAATGTCTGGGGGGAAGTGAAATGTCAAACTGTACTCCCAATAAAGACTGGATGCATGAACTGGCCGCAAACAATTGACATTTAATTTGGATTGCTCAGGGATTTGAGAGAGTATATGGCAAGATATTTACTATAGCTTTTCTGGTAACATTTGATTTGGGTTTCCGTTTTATGTGTTTGGGTTTGTTTTAGTTTTTTGGTCAGAAGCAACTTATTTTCCCATAAAATGTAAATCTAGTGAATTATGTTCGAATCAGTAAATTAAAATATTCTTGATTTTTACAGCTTATACAGACTGAAGGAGTTTGAGATTAGACTGGGTTCTACATGTGGCTGTGATGAAGCAGGTTTTACATCAGCTACACCATGTTATAAAGACCATACATCAACAGCACGGTCTGTTTATACCACAGAGAAATGTAATCAACCACCTGTAACATCACTATCGGGTAGATTTGTGTTTGTTTCAGTATCACGGCAATATTTGCAAATGTGTGAACTAGAAATATTCACAGGTAGGTCGATTACTGATTCAACAGTTTGCCAGTATGATTAATATTCGCAATAATAATTCATCTACAATATAGAATCTCGATATCTGGGTTGTTATGTCCTTGATTATCCATAGAATTTCGTTAAGCCTAGCTTATGTCGCCCTACGACAGCGATAAAACTGACGGAGACTCGAAATCGGCGACTGGTTTACGATCAAGTGGAACTGATCAGTCGTGACTATGAGGGCGACCTGAGCGCTCTTACGACTGGTGTAAGTCGGACGGCAACCAGTCGTCTCCAGTTTCTCTGAGTCGCACATGTTCTACTCTTACGACTGGAGACAACTAGTTGATCCTAGTCGCAAGCGACATGAGCGCACCTACGACTGGCTTAAGTCGGCGCTTCGCTGACGTAGCCAATAAGATTCGGTTATTTAGTCACGTGGTAGCCAGGGCGGGAGACAAGTGGAATGAGGCAATTTTGAAGGTTATCACGTGTCAGTCATGTGATCAGTTGTGGCTCCGATTATGCAACTGACGCCGGCCGACATGAGCGCGCTTACGACTATGATCAACTGGTCGCGTCCAGTCGTGGATAAATTCAGTCGTAGCGACATAAGCTGTTAGTTGCCGTTAGTTTTGAAGGTTATCACGTGTCAGTCATGTGATCAGTTGTGGCTCCGATTATGCAACTGACGCCGGCCGACATGAGCGCGCTTACGACTATGATCAACTGGTCGCGTCCAGTCGTGGATAAATTCAGTCGTAGCGACATAAGCTGTTAGTTGCCGTTAGTTTTATCGCGTCGTAGGGCGACATAAGCTAGGCTTAAAACGTTGACAACTTACCCAGACCCGTCGTACGTTGAAGACTAGGATGTTCTAAGTGTCCGAGACTATGTGGGGATGGGCGTATCAAAACTTGTTTGTATTTGTGTTTAGTTTTTATATTTAATATTACTTGTTATATTTAATATTACTTGTGTTTGTTTTCAGTTTCTGGAAATTAACCTGAGCGGGTCATTCGACAAAAACTAAGGTGAAAATAAATAGCTGCCGGTGAAAACAAAGAGTTTTATTGTTAAAATACATTTTTCTGTTTTTCAATTACATATTTCATACAATTGTAAAATTTAATAAGCTGTTTTAGATGACTTATATAAAGAAGAATTTATAGCCTAATTTTATCCTATGCTGTTGCTTCATTTTGCCGTTGTTTTTTTTTCTGGCAATGAATCGATTTGCTTATATTTTAATTTTATTACAATTGTCTGCGCTTAGTGTATATTACTGCGAATACATGTTTGTTGTTAAGACTTTGAGCAAAAAGTAAAATGCTTATCTGAATAAAACTTGAACAAAATGAATTATTTTTGTTATATCCCGTGTGTAATATTCCTGTGTTCTAATTCCGACTCTTGTCGAATTATAGAAATACACATTTCAATATATTGAAAGCAGGCGGGGGGTGTACATGGGACCCGAGCTTATACGGGAGAGAGTCTATGCATTTAAAAGGACGACTTTACTTTAGAAATGGCCTTATTTGCAAGGATAATTCTTAAATTTTGTTTGGGGAGAAACTCCTATACCCTGTCGAGTCTCAGCCTTCCCACCCCCTAATCAAATTCTACACACGCGCCTGAAAAGATACTTTCATTCGAGGTGAGGATACGATGGTTTGTAAATGTAACTTGTCATTGTCAAAACAAACTGCACTGCCATAAACACGTGACCAAGATATAAAATATACCATACTGCCTTAAACAAGTGATCAATGATATATTTTTAAAAGGGCATTTTAAATAGGTATTTTGGAATTTAGTAAAACACTAACAATTATCTACTTAGCCAACACCGTGACCCTTTGGACATGATTCTACAAGGGTCTTTGCGTTTTTAGCTGTGTTTAAGTAAATATGAGATGGAGGGCCCAGTTCAAGGTCACATATGTAAGGTCATTATATGTACCTCACTTTTGAATTCCGGGGTCAAGGTGTAAAACATTGGCCCGTAGCGTATAGGATTTATTCTTTTTAATACTAGGCGGTGAGCTGCAAAGGCTATATATATTCAATGCTCGGTAACGATTTAATACAGTAGAACTTGTATTAAGCAAGCACCCAAGGGAAATTTTAAAATGCTTGCTTAATGGAGGTGCTCTTTGACTAGAGGTATCCAATATCGCCCCAACCCCTACCACAAAAAAATAAAGATATAGATTGCAGATATTTTTTTAATCATGTAGAATAACAATACATATACTTTTTATCTAGTCGGGAATTCAAAGTAGTCGCATATACAGGTTTTAGTAATACTGGATCCCTGGCCCCCCAATATTTCTTTTACTTTCATCATAGCGTCTAAAAGTTCTATATTGTCGCTGTCTTTTGCATAAGACAATAATGTCTCAGCGGAATACTCCGCAGAGATTAACGTAATTTTTTCGAATTGAACAACAATATTGTTATCACTATCATCACTGGAATCAACATTGACAGAGTCTTTTAATAATTCAGATGCCGATTGTTCCCAGTCAACGTCTTTTAAATCAAAGGTAAATACGTTTTCATCAAGAGTATGTAAATTGTGAACATCACATTCGAAAATGTCTTTCGATATTCTCAAACCGAAAGAGGTATATTATCATCATCATCATCTTCTGTCACTCCATTTTTAAAACTAAATCCACACTTTAAAAAAACACTTCTGAATTGTGGATGCTTCAACTGAAACCCAAGCAGATTTCACCCAGTAAATGGCAGTTAAAATGTCGATTTTTTTTAAAACCTCACTCCTTTATTGCGCTCAATATCTGACAATATATGTCCACATTGTAATTTTCTGAATTGTAATTTAAAAGACTGTATTATGGCCTGGTCCATTGGTTGACTTTTTGAAGTGGTGTAAGCCGGTAAAAACTTGACTGTCACGTTGCTTTAATTCATTTGCGGATGTGCGGAGCAGTTGTCTACAAACAATAAGATATTTCGGTTCTGTTTCGACATCTTTTTATTCAAGTCAGATAGCCATCCAGGCTTTTTCTTATTGTTCCTATACACTACAGGGGGTCGCTTGACATCTTTAACTTTTGAGAAACATCGTGGTTTAACAGCTTTGCCAATCAACAGCGGGATGATTTTCTCGCCAGTCATACTCGAACAAAGAGCCAAAGATAGTCGCTCTTTTGAACGTTTACGCCCGCACAGTCGTCACCCTTTATGTGGAATGTGTTCCTGGTCGTGCCATTAAAAAACAATGCCGTTTCATCCATATTAAATATATCACAAATTGGAGGCAGCTTCGACTTCCATTCTTCGACCACTTTACCGTCCACATCCGCACGCTCGCCACTCATTTTACCCCACACAATATTATTTCTTTTACAGAAGGCGTTTAACCAACCATTGGATGGCTTAAAAGTATCAATCTTCAAATCTGTAGAAAATTTTAAGGCTTTTGCCTGGAATAAGGGTTTCCATTTATAGGGGCATTGCGAGCTCTACAATCCTGGAAAAATTACCTGACCAAATCGTTAATGTCTTCATTACCTGTCGACCTTCTCGTGCGCTTCTTGTGAGGTGGTGAATTATTTTCAAAATCGTCTAAAATTTCTGCCTTTCTTTTCAAAATGCCGTGAATTGGAGTATTTCCCACCCCAACTATACTGAGCGCCATGGAAAACGCATCACTTAGTTTTTCGTATAACAAAATGATCCTGTAAACATATCTTATTTATTTTGCTTCTTATTGTGAACAATATTCAAATGGGAACACATCAATAACAACACATTTGTACACTTATGGATGTTCAATCTGTAATCAAGGGTACAAAGTCAGAGGGGTCAAAACCAAAAGTACGACACAGATGTCAGTAGCGCGTGTGTCCTCCACGGGCCATCATCACGGTAGGCTACATCATTAACGCGACCCCTGCAAATGTGTCCGGTCCGGTGATGAAATATGAAGCCTCCCCACACCATTACACTTCCCCCCACCCCATCGATTCGTTTCGAAGACGCAGCAGTCTACAAGACATTTCCCAAGACGTCTCCACACAGGTTGACGGCCATCAGCGTGATAAAGATGAAAGCGACTCTCATCACTGAAGAGCACACTTTGCCAGTCTACTCTTCTCCATGTCTGGTGTCCTTAAGCCCATATCAAACGCCGCTGACGGTGATGATCCTTGAGGATAGCTCCAACATAAAGTCGTCGTGTACGGAGTCCTTCTTCTCTTAGACGACGTCTTACGGTGTTGGCACTTACTGGTCCTTGTCTTCCGACGACTGCTGCACCTGTTGGAGTCGCTGGGCGAAATCTGTCACGCAGATGAGTGACCCGGATGTAGCGGTCTTGAGCCTGGGTTGTAACGCGTTGTGGACCAGAAAGTTGACGGTCACGTGTTAATCCAGTAACTCGAACACGTTCCACCAACCTTACAATAGTGGACCAATGACAATTGAAGTGTCTGGCAATAGCACGTGTAGACATGAAAGCCCTGGACATTCCCATGGCTTCATTCCGTTGATTTTCAGTAAGTCTCGGCATCTCTAGCTCGATTCCTTCACACGTCCAACAAAAAATTACGACAGATTGACGTTTCACAGTTCATGTACTGCACATTAAGTTGAAAACATGCTTTTAAAGGGCTCACACACAATGCTGCACGTGAATATTGGGGTTCTCAGGTGCATCTCGTGCAATTTTTTTTTGTGTACACGGGCCTATATTTTTGGCGTTTGGGAGCATTGTGTGAAACAATAGTTCATAGTAATGCATAATATTATACACACAAAACCACCTAGTAATAAAATATTTGGGGAAAAAAAGTGATGCGTTTTCCATGGCGCTCAGTATATTTTAGCGATTACGCGACCACTTTTACCTTCATTTGATAACTGTAGTTTTCTTTCTTTTCTTCACTTAGCGTGCTGGGTTCAGTCATTTCGATTGGTAGACAGCGAGGGGTTAGGACTGATTTATTGCATCTGCAGGATTAATTAATTTCTCAAAAGCTATATAATGAATGCTCGGTAAGGATTTAATACTTTTCTTACTTTTGTTCACTTACGAGTGGTGGGTTAAGTCATTTCGATTGTAGACAGCGAGGGGTTAGGACTGATTTATAATGAATGCTCGGTAAGGATTTAATACTTTTGTTCACTTACGAGTGGTGGGTTAAGTCATTTCAATACAGGGTATTTATCTAATTATCAATTCGATAGTAGACAGTGAAACGAAGGGAATGTATCTAATGATCGGTAAGGATTTATTGTATTACTATTTTAGGCAATAAAATCCTTAACAATCATTAGATGATTTTATGAGAATTGTTTTCATTCTTGGCATTTAATATTTTTTAAAAATTTCAGATGGCGGATAGCGCATCGCCCAGCAACCCCGTTTCCTCGGACCCCTCTATCGTAGATAGTGTTGACGAAAGGCTGAGCATCCTTACAGAGTTCACATTAGAGAAATTGGTCAAGTTTAAAGACACGCTCCTGAAGTTTAATCAGGGGATGGATAAGCGAACTGGGCATATATAAACCAGGGTCGATGTCCTGGAGAAAAGATCAGGCTGACTAAAACGGGATCAGGAGGTGATAGAAATACCAAACAGCACTAACGGAAAGAATTTTGGGCACACAGATGACCACACAACAAGTAACCCCGTCAAACATTTCAACAACTCCGATCCCCGCGATGAAATGTAAGTCAAACTTTAACACCCCCCCCCCCCCCAGTCACGGTGGCAGATTGAGCAGAGGGGTGGAGTGAAACCATACCAGAACCTCATCACACCAACGATGACGGACATACTAACCCATGCCCAAATAACATTTTAATAACTTTTGGATTGAAAAGAAAACGACCTCTCCGGTATGTATAGTTAAGTGCAGGGGGACCGGGCCTTAAGGAACAGAATTAGTTTCGGGTCCTGTATATCATTTTTACTTGGATTTTAGAATTTGTTGAGGGAATTTAATCTTTTGCCGAAGCTCTTCTGTTAGGTTTGTTGGTGGTGGACGGATCGGATCGGATCCACTTGTTTCGAAAAACTGAATCGTTTGGGGACTGTAAAAGACGGTTTAGCTAACTTCGATCTAGTGTCTGGTAGATGGCGTCTGGTAGGAACCGCTGCCTTGGGTTTATGGGTGGTCTAACTTCTTTAAAGGGGGACGCAACTCGGGTAGCTGGTGCTCTGGTTTTCTTACTTGGAGATCTATCTGAAGTCACACGAACAGTATTTACGGGCGAATGTCTCGCCGGACTCGTGAAGATTGGGGAGGACGAGGGTGGGTTAGGTTTCGCACTAGGTAGTTTAGCCAAAAATTCGTCGATAGTAGACTGTCTAAGCCTGTTA